TGTCATATTTAAAATTGAGTTTTCTATAAAGTATACAAATATAAAATGATAATTGAAGCTTAAACTAAGGGTTCCAAGCACATATATTGAATCTCATCTCCAAATGAGATTCAGATTGAATTTCGTTCATAAAGTTACCTATAAAACACACATATTGAACTCGAACGTCTCATGTTTAAAATTAAACATTTTTATAAAGTGTATAAATAGAATTCTTTTATTTATATTATGGAGCTGCTGTGATATACTCACAATGAGTTAAAATAATCATCCCTCAAATCTAATATTCTCTCGTGACAAGAAATTTCTAGAGACAGATTGAGCTTCCAAGTCCTAAAATCTCAACATAAAATTACTCGTAGGTCCTCCACATACTTGACCAAAACCATAATTCAATAGAACCATGCATTAAATCAAAAGACAGAGCATGCCATTTTATCTTCCTAAACTGACTCTTACCCACAAACAAATAAGCCAAATCCATGCACAAATCATCAAAACCCTGCAACCCCACCACACCTTAAACCCATTGCTGAAGCTCTTGGCAACCTCATCCATCCCGCAAAATGCTTTTCCCCTCTACAACCAAATGCTTCTGCACCCAAATTCACATGACAACTACACATTCAACCATGCCCTGAGGGCATGCACCTTCGCCCATGCCCACCACAAAGGCCTTGAAATCCATGGCCGTGTCATAAAATCAGGTCACTCGTCAGACGTTTTTACGCAGAACACCTTGCTTAATTTCTACTTAACAGAAGCCGATGTCACTTCCGCCCGCAAACTCTTCGGCTCCATATCGTGCCCGGACGTGGTGTCATGGACGACTATCATTTCAGGGCTTTCGAGGTGTGGGTTTGGCGAAGAAGCAATTGTTATGTTCAGGTCGATGAATGTAAAACCTAATTGTTTCACTCTCGTTAGTGTTGTATCGGCTTGTTCTGGTTTAGAAGCCCACAGGCTTGGCAGAGCTATTCATGCCTATTCCGTGAGGAACTTGGAGGAGAGCAATGTATTTTTGCAGAATGCTTTGTTGGACCTGTACGTAAGATGTGGGTCTTTGTTCAGCGCGCAGCTCCTGTTTGAGAAAATGCCTGACAGAGATATCGTTTCCTGGACAACCATGGTGGGTGGCTACGCGCAGAGAGGGCATTGTGAGAAGGCTTTTGAGGTGTTCCAAACCTTGGTGCGAGGAGGAGAAGCTGAACCAAATGAAGTCACGTTAGTCAGCATATTGACGGCGTGTTCCTCCATTGGCGCTCTGAGTTTGGGAAGATGGATTCACGCGTATATAAACACACGGGAAAATGATATTCTGATGAATACTTCTGTGGGGAACGCATTGATGAACATGTACGTCAAGTGCGGGAATGTGAGTGCGACGGTTTCAGTTTTTGACATGATGAAATGCAGCGATTTGATATCATGGAGCACTGTGATAAGTGGGTTAGCAATGAACGGCCTTGGCAAGCAAGTTTTAGAGGTCTTTGCGCTAATGCTGGTTACCGGGGTTGTCCCGGATGATATAACATTCGTTGGATTGTTGTCTGCTTGTAGCCATTCGGGTTTGGTTGATCAAGGGGAAATGTTATTCAAAGGTATGCTTCGGTTCTGTGGGACTGCACCACGAATTCAGCACTACGCATGCATGGTTGATATGTATGGCCGAGCTGGGCTTTTAGAGGAAGCGGAGGCTTTGGCTAGGGATATGCCTGACAATCAGCCTGACAGAACTATTATGGAAACTCTGTTGAATGCTTGCAAGGTTCATGGTGATGTTTTGGGAGCGAGACTGGAGCTACAAGATGTTAAAGGATTTGGTGCCGGTGCTTTTGCATTACTGTCGAATACTTATGCAAGTCTGAATAGATGGGAAGATGCTGGTAGGATTCGGGATGAGATGAGGTGCTGCGGCCTAAAGAAGATGCCAGGCTGTAGCTGGATCCAGGTGGATCTGACAATGCCGAGATAGTTTGTTAAGACATTGTGCTATTCATCTCCAAGAAATATCGGCTTGAAAATGAAAATTACCCTGTGTTGACATTAATTATGTTGTATGATATGATTCAATAATGGACAGAAATGACACTTAGAAGTGAATTCCTGTTTACTGACCACAATAACAGTAACTAAAAGTCCGAGACTAGGGGTAAAAAAATGGACAGCCAAAATATAACACTACATGCCAAATAAGGTTCATGGCCTACAAAATTGACTCGTGGTGGTCTCACACAAAACTGCTGCTTAATCTAAAATACGAGTATCTGTACTCTTATAACAAAACAGCACAGAGAAAATGAACAATCACTCTCCTCAGCAGACAAACAAATCAAATGAACCGCGCGACTTCTTGCATTAATGTGAAACGAACCAGCACGATGAACCAACATTCCCTGCAAAACCGAATGAATTCAGCACTGACAAACAAATGGAGCAATCTACTAACACCCAGATATGTTGAAAGGACAAACAATAATTCTTGCATTAATGTGGATCATATTGCCTGTATGCCAAATCAATTACTAAGAATAAAAAACACGAGGTACTTCATAAATTGAACACCATTTGATTACTACGAAAACTTTGTAAGACATGATTGTGTTTATAAGAATGTATTCTTCTTACATATCTAAATCTGGGTGCAGCAAGTGTAGAAGTTGTCGCAGAAAGGCTGTAAAGGTGGGCATGAACCAATAGGTAAACAGAATAACAATTTAATGAAATTAACTTGTTCCAAAAATGTGAAAGGAACAAAACATACAATGCAAATCAGGGAAAAATGCCTCTACTTGAACCAAAATTGTCCAAGTCCATAGAAAATAAAGGTCATAAAAGTTGATTTAATTGAAAAATATGAGCTCTATATCACCCACGTAAAAGATGACCAGTGACAGAAATAATAACGCTGTTCCAAACTGGAAGTTGCTTTTCTCCCTAGAGCAGGTAGGACTTGGTGATTATCAGTCTCTATCACCTTTAGTGTTGAAGCAAGGATAATCCAAGTAATTTAGAAGCCTATCATATAATAGTTTTCTTCTCAAAAATAGAAAAAAAAGTAGTTCTCAAACACTTGATGAACTTCACCACATGCTGATGGCAATATTCTCACATGCCCGCATCTAATATAATGAACAGAAATGCCACTTTCAATAAGTACCTTGAGTATTCAACGGCGCTGAGTTTTTCCAATTGACCGTTTCCCAGAAAATAAATGTTTAGGTTTAAGTGTAGGTATAACTCTATCAGCTTCTCCACGACGAGCATCCTTGTTCCTTTTCTTGACAGATTTCTTGGCAATTTTAAGAGCTTTGACCTTTTGAGCAGAGTCTCTGAAGCCCTCCCCAGGAACAACTTCATTTGGAGGCCTTGACACTGACCTTGACCGTGATCTGGACCTCAATCTCAGTTTCTTCTTCAGTTGGTTCTCATCCACATCCATACTGTCAGCATCATGATTATCTCCCCGCTCAGGTGATCTCTCTCTTTTCCGGCCCCTAGACTTGCTGCGGGCACGATTAATTGCCAAAGAAGGATCTAGACCCAAAGCTGATAGCTGCCTGCCCATTCTCTCCGTTGTGAACTTCCCATCCTTGTCAAACTTCCTTGGCACAATGGACCTGTTCTGAGCAGTGCTTTTCTTAATCCTGGGCTCTTGAATAAGCAAACTTTTCTTTTTCCTTATCTCTGCCAATGCTTCTTGCTCTTCTGGTGTCAACTCCATACCATCCATTTCAAAATCCTCTTCTTCCTCCTCTGCCTGTCGAACACCTTCTCTCGTTCCAACTCTTCAAGCCTAATAAAATATCAGGATCAATGAAGTCATACACATTATGACCATCAGGAATTTCGGGCATTA